GCGCTGGCGGCGCAGATGAGGACACTGGCCGGCAGCAGCTTGCTTTCACGCATGAGCAGTGGTGTTGTCTAAGCGCGAAAAGAAGAACAGCTCTCGTGCGGCAGGAAGCCAGACAGGAAGCGAAGGACAGTGATGATTACCTATGTTTTTTGAGAATGTGGCACAAGTCTTTTAGTTTGTACTGCTGCCCTAGCTATACAGCAAGAACGCAACTGCAAAAATCCGTCTTCCTTGTTTCTCGCTTGCAAACGAACAGCTTCCTGAGCTTCCGGACCATGGCGATGATCTTGTTCTGCAGTGTAGACTTCCCAACGTACAATGTGAACTTCTCGTTCGAAGGTATGGACATTCCAGAGATGCACGCATCACTTTTACGGAAGCAACGCACAGCTACCATGTCGATGGCTGCAGAATGCCGATATCCGTGACAGGCCTGGTTCATCGCTTTGCTCAGGATTTCGACGCTGACAACGCAATCTCCAAGATGATGGCAAGCTCTCGCTGGCCTCGTCCGGAATACGCCAGGAAGGTGGCAGAGGACGGTTTGCTTCATCCGCTTTCACCAGAGGAAATCAAACAGCTCTGGCGCCGCAATGCTCGGGAAGCTGCCACCAGAGGCACCTGGATGCACCTTCAGATTGAAGTTCTTCTCAACGGCGGCAGCGTGCAGGGCGATTGCTGTGAGCTTCGTCTGTTCGCTCGTTTCCTTAGAGAGTACCCGTTGCCTCTCATCGCCTTTCGCGCGGAGTGGTGCATTTTCGCCGAGGAGGAAAAACTGGCAGGATGCATTGATTTTGTGGCTAAGTGCTCGACCCGTGAAGTTATTCTTTTTGACTGGAAGAGAACAAAACAGCTTCGTAACAAGTACAGCAACCCTTGGGCGAGTATGAGGCACCCATTATCACATCTAGCAGACAGTGCTGGAGTTCATTATCGTTTGCAGCTCAACCTTTATAAATTCATTCTCGAGAAATACTACGATCTGAAGGTGCGGGCCATGCATGTTGTTTGCTTGCATCCGGATAATTGTGATCACGGACCTTTCCTGGACACCGTGCCGGACATGCTCGTAGAGGCAAAGGCCATGCTGGATACACACAAACTTGCCCTCGCAGCCGACCAAAAAGATCTGCGCGGCGGTGCTGCTCCCGCTGAGAAAGTGTTCGACTGCAAAACCCATGACGCGCTGAATGTTTCCGGTGCAACGGAGCAAGGTCAGCGTGGCAATGACAATCTGCATGAGTCAACGGCTGAGAAGCACGGTCAGACGCAGCAGGATGGTGTCAAATCGAGCGCCGCTACGCAAAACTCTTCGTTCGGGCCTCGCCCGTATGCTTTGGTAGCCTCCGAGCTACGTGCAGCTGGTTTGCAGCCATATACGGCGAGCAATGAGATGAATGATCGCGAGATCCTGAATGGAAACTTCAACAACCTGTATCGTCGCCGTGTCTTGTTGTTTGTCGGACAAAGTGTTTCCGCAGGTGCGCAAGAAGAAAATGATAGCTTTCGTTCCATGTGCGGCAATGACATGCGCGGAGGAGCCTCGCAAGACTCATGCGATGCTCGTCTTGAACAGGAGTACGACCTCATGGACACCGAGGACATTGCAGCCGACGAACATGCGGATTCGCAGACCGAGCAACTAGCACTGGCGCTGCCTTCTATTCTGTCAGAGGACACCCTAGCGGCTGCCAAGCAAAGACGCCTGACGCCAGGCGCATCAACAAGCTCGGATGCTTTCGACGGCTTCTTTGCGGCCACATCCGCAGCCTACGATGTTTCAGTCGAAGCTAGGCCTCAAGCATCCGAGGAACGCATCAACGGGTCTGTCAGGGAGCAGTGTCGTAGAATTCTAGCTTACACTAGAGCGCATCAGCCTGCGTGGCCGGAAGACATGATTCGCATGGGCGCAGCAGCCATTCTCGTGTACAGAACGCGGTACACGGACCTCTTCGTGCGCGACTTCGTGGGCCTCATCTGGATAATCGAGGGAGAGCGTTTTATTCGAGCGCATGCAGGAGTTTGCTACCCGTATCATGATGACGGTGCTTTCGAGGTTCTTTGCTGAGGTCGAGTAGCTGTATTTCATTTTATGGTATTGTTAATAATGTTAACAGGTAGAATATGTTGTCTCCGCGACTGCAGCAATCCAGGCTTACAAAGGCGTGCCGCCAGAATCCACGTTCTACAGGATCAAAACTTTTCTGCTGAGGCTGGAAGGAATCTTTCGTCTAATGTCGCCTTCGACTTCGCGGTCGGACCAGGGCATCCTCACGGAGATCGCACAGCTCCGCTTGCAATACAACAACCTCAAGGAGTTCCTGCTGGCTGCCGAGGATGAAGCCATGGCGTCCGGGCCTGGAAGGCAGCGCGCAGGAAGGCGAGCAGGAGATGAAGGTGAGGCGAGCCATGGCTGGCCCGCTTGGACTGCGGAAATGCTAGCCAAAATCCTGGCTCCTCTGCAGAAAGATCTTCTGGATGAACGTACTTCGGAAATACTTAGCATTTTTTTGTGTCTAACACATGAATTTGTTTGTAGTGAAGGTGCGGACAATCCCACCAGTAGATGATATTTTCAGTTCTCGGATCTAGGTTTCCTGTATAGTTGTTACATTTACTAATATGGTTCTGCTGCGTTCTCCGGGTTTGTCATTTGTTCATGACAACTACGTGTGCCCTTACGCGCGTAAATAGCAGAAATAGCACATATATGAACATTTAACACCGACAAGTGCATTCGAGGATGTTTACTACAGTTTCTGGCACAGTGGTGTGACGCACCAAATTGCCGAAGGTCTGGGTGCGCGTATTCGGACTACTCGGTTCTTTATGATGTGTCCGAGAACGAGCATGTGAGGCTGGTCCCCGCGTCGCCCGAAAATAATTTGTACATTCGGATTCCATACCCGCTCGTGATGCCTCTACCAGACCCGGTTCTGCAGCAAGCAAGTGAGAGGCACGCAAGATTTATTAAACAAACCTTTTGGTGCAACGAAGACTACTACAGAGCGACCCTGTCCGCCATCGCCTTGGCCAAACGTGGTGAAAATGTTGACAGGTGCTTCATCGGCGAGTCTGCTGGAGGCACCGGACAGTCGCTGTTCAGCAGCCATTTGGCCGCTGTCTACGGGCCTAATCACGCCTTTATCGACCCCAACCTTTTCCACAACGAAGAGGAAATGCGTAAGCAACTTGAGCAGTTTGCGCATTGTTGGATCATCACCGCTCAAGAAGCGCCACAGACTCACAAACACTTCCAACAAGATCTCTTCAAAAAGCTCATGTCTGCGGACGACTTGGCCGGCCGGCGTCCATATGGCTTCGTAACTCGAATGCTACGTGTTATTGGTTTCAAACGCTTCGAGACCAATCGAGTTATGACGTTCAAGAACGTGATGGAAACCAACTTCAACTCCATTTACCGGCGGTGCTTGGTGTGGAATCCTAAGCCAATTTTTGTCGATGATGTCGCGTTTGGTGAACAATATCCAGACCCAGAAGCAGACGGCATCTTTGTCAAGGACCCAACCCTCAAAGCTTTCCTTGAAAGCGGGCCAGCCATCGCTGCCATGCTGAAGCAGCAGCATGGCTTCGAGTCCTTGCATTCCAGGCAGGTCTGCTTGCGCATGATCGAGGAGTTTGCCCGCGGAGGCATCACTGAGCGCAAAATGCGCGAAGCGTGTGGCCTCGAACCTCGACCAGTTCCTTGGCTGAAGAATTAAGGATTTGTTTCTGGGGCTAACGCCAGTGTCAAGAGCTTGGTAGTGTTGTTGCTGCAATGCATGAACATGATGCTGTTTCCAACAAGTGGTATAAGTTTCTGAGCCTGTTAAATCTGTCTTCGACTGAACCCGGATTTCCAGGAGCCGACGGAAGGCGAGCCCAAGGCGACATCTCTCGATATCGTGCTGCAGAAGCAAGTATGTGCGGCCCCAGCGGCGGACCCGCTTGAGCCAGTGTGCGAATTCTCGAAGGCGAACGCGGCCGCAACAAGCTTTGCTCTCGGACTTTGGACAAGGCGCACCGACTGCAAACTTCAAAGCCTATTTCACCAAGGCATGGTTTCAGCGCTGCGCTAAAAAGAAGTTCAATGTAGCACCGGACATGTGGGATGAGCTCACGGCCAGCAGTTCTTCTTACCTGCAGACAAGAAAGCCGCTCCAGATTGTTTTATTCCAACTATACCATGCAAGCATAAGCTGGAGGACATGTTCACCGTGAGCAATGAGCCAGAATTCATTACACTACAAGAGAATCTGAATGCTGCGCGGCTATGGGAAGAGATAGAAGCGAATGGAAGTCGTGCTGCTAACTCGGAGCTGCTGCAGCATTTTCACAAGGAAATTCTCAAGAAGCTCAAATCTGGCAGGGGTCGGCACGGCGTCGAGAAGGAGGAAGCTATAGTGTACTGGAACGGCGTAGCAGACAAGCTTCAGAAGCACGAGGCCTGCGCTCGATCTCTCTTGGATCGAATGGTGGACCAAATTTCACAGACCGCGCGCAAGTGATCTCGCAGTCCCAGTACGTCGTCGTCTGGCGAAAAAAGCTTCAGGTGAAACGGCTGCAGCTTTGCAGGAAGGTGCTTCCGCGGCGATCTTGCCTTCTGGCTCGGCTGCTCTACATCCGTTCAACGGCCAGGACGAGTACGTGGCGATGCCTGTCAACTACAGCTACAAGCTCGATGGCATCAGGTCTCGCAGATATGCCGAAAGCTATTCCGTGCAGCATCTAGGCACGGCGTGGCAGTCTGTCGCGCTATGCGACACTCTTGACTTTGATATCGAGAATTGCTGTTTTACGTTACTTGTGCAATTGTTGGATCGCATGGAGCCTCAGCATCCGGCGTGGCCGAAGATACGGGAGACTTTGCAGACGTGTGCCGAGAAGCGTACTGAAATTATACAAACGAAACTGAAGTTGGACAAAACTGCCGGGAAGCTTCTTCTGCAGAAAGTGTTCAATGGAGGCGGAACTCCTTCTCACCTTGAGAAGAACGAGTTTCTTCATGATCTTCAGCGCGCCTCTCTGTTTTGCCGCTGGGTCGCAGCTACCGCCCTGAAGGATCTGGCCTGGGCGTCAGTTCTTCAGGCAAAAGAACGGCCAGATCTATATTTCTGGAACATAGCCGAAGACGTTGTTATGGAAGCGTGGCTGGCTAAGGCAGCGACCCTGGGCTCTCAGCACACCTCTCTGCACTTCGATGGCATTCGTCTGGATCGACAGGTTGCTCAGCCGTCGGTGGATGAGTTTTGCGAAAGCTGTGCGAAAACCATCAGGGCGAAGACCGGCTTCAGCGTGCAAATTCGTGTGAAGGAACATTATAATTTCAAGACCCTGCTCGGCAAGCTTGATTCAAAAGAAACCGTCGCCTGTCCAGAAATTTTGCTGAAGCACGGAAACTGCATTCTGGCAAGCTTGCATCATCTGGGCTTTGCAGAACAGGCTGGCTCTATGGCATCCACTGTCATTGGGCCCGCGCATGTTTTCTTTGCGCGACGAGGCTGTCGAACATACGAGCAAGTCAAGGATTCTGCTGGCTTGAGATTGTTTCCACGACTGCCGAGGCGCGAACTAAAGCCTGGAGAAAAAATTCTGTTGCATCTTGCCAGTGGCGGCAAGCCACACTGCGTTGCAGCAGAAGTCACGGCCGATGGCGTCGTTCAGATCACCGATGGCGCCGAGAGGGTCGCCGCTTCCTTGGCAGACATGTGGAGGATGTGCTCCGAGGCAACAGACAGAAAGTATATTATTTACTTCTACGTCGACAAGAGACCGGAAAAACTTGCTACCGACGCAGAAGACAGTCAATATGACCTGCTGCTGCAGACGCAAGCTGCAGCTGGTGAGGACGACGATGAGGATTTGTTCGTGCAGGATGTGGACGCGCCTGATGATTTTGTGAACGAGGATGATGTTGATCAAAATGAAGAGGAAGACGAGGATTCGGAAAGCATCACTCGGGCGGGCGATGCACTTCTTCAGAGCATGAAAACTGAAGTCGAGACATTTCTGGCAGGAGGTCTTCGACGGAGAGGCAGAGTTCAGCCTGCCGCTCGTTGCCCATTCTGTCCATTCCGTTCTTGGCCGAAATCAAGAAAAGCCCGTGTTCTCTCTCATGTTCGCGAGTATCATTCCAGCAGAAAGCAATACGTGGCTAGCGGCACTAAGCAACTCAAGATGATTATTTCGTTGTACGACTTTGATCAATCACAAGGTCATCAAACTGGAAATTATTTATACCGGAGCAGTCAAATCCTGAGAAAGACTGTGCAGCCATCTCTGGCGAGCAAGCGTGTGCTGATTGATCGACATCTGCGTCTGGTGCTTACATCCGAAGGTCCACAGTTCTGGAATTTGGAGATGGTGGAGCAAACATGTGTACGGCGAGTTCGAAACCTTTACTACACGCACGGCTTCGGGCAGATTGTCTTTCAGGAAACGCTTATGTGCAAAGCTAAAGTGTCTTCCCTGCACGTTCAGCGGTAAGTAAATTGATTACGTATTTGGCAGGCTAGTTAGGTTCTGAAGTTCTGACCTCAAGCGTGTGCTTACTTTATGCTTCCTGAGGTTTTCGCATTCCACGCCCGAATGATGATGCGCTTCGCTGGAGAAGCCTGTAGTTTGCTGCCTAGACACTCTCTTCATTGGTGGCCGCTTATTGAAGATGTTTTCACATCAACGAAAACAGCTGAAGTTCGGGTCACCTTGCTGGACGAAATGATCTTGCGGGAGGAATTCCAGGTCGTCAGCATGGACGCGACTCTTCGCTGCTGTTTGCCGTTAATGGGGCAGGCTCATCCCCGAGCTCGCCGAGAAGTAAAAGAGCAAGCAGTGTTTGTCGGAGACGATGCGCTCACCCGCGTGCCCTAGCATTTTTGTTCGATTTAAACTCAGATCGGCAACACGTAGTTAGCAACACGTACTCGCGCTACCAAAACATAAGTTCGTTCCGAGTTGTTGAAGCATCCCAACTCAGGTGTTGACGTGCCGCGGCCGGACTAACGCAGTGCTTCTTCTGCAAGCCGTGCCGTCAGACGACACTGCAGCCATGGTGAGATGTATGGCAGAGACACTGCCGCCACAAGCACTGGCGCAGGTACAATATCTTTCAGTGGACAATCCGTCCACCAAGCTTGTTCGACAAGCGCAAGGCATCTTCCCCAATTTGCAGGTAGTGGCTTTGGACCCTACGCATCTGGCCATGACCTGCGAGTATGCTTCCAGCAGGAAGAGGACCGCTGCCACAAAATGCCTGCGGGTCATCTTGCGCAAGTTGACCGCTCGCGGGACCTGCTGCGCGTCCACCTGGGGACCTGCGTTCGATGGCAGCACTGTTACGCCATTGTCGCACGAAGAGGAGCGTGCCCGCGCACAGATCGAGGACAAGAGTATGAGCAGAGCGCACGCGGAGCGCATATTGAACAACTTAGATCCTGAGAAGCCGTTCGTGCTTCGTTTGGAATGGATTCAAGCTCTGGCGGCCTTGGCGTCGGTGCATCGTTCCGAGATGGAAAAAACGGCTCCTGGTCCAAATAGGAAAATCTACGAGATGCTTCACTCGGCGGCAGCAGCAAGCAGGGTGGGCTGGTATTTTAACAATCTCATCATGCGACATTCGTTGCCGACAAGCAGATTGTCGTTGTTGCCAATAGGTACTACCAGCAATGAAGCGCTCCATCACGAAATCAATACTTGGTTCCGTGAAACCCAAAAAATGTACCAAGGAACCTTGAGCCTTAAACTAATCATAATGCATTTGGGGAAGGTGCTCGCGCGCAACAGTGCATGGTACAGGCCTACTACACGGCAAATGCCGGAGGCAGAGTTGCTTGCGAGAATATCTGGCCGGCAGCTCTGGAGCGATTCGGAGTGGGCAGCCTGGTGCTCGAGTCTTGATGCCGGCTGCAAAGCCCAGCTCCCGATTCACGAAAAGCGAAAGCAGCAGCAAGGGCTGGTTAAACAAAAGTCTTTCAAACGCCCTGCTGCTGCTGCTGCTGCTGCTGCTTCAGAAGATACAAGTCTTCACCGCAAACGCACCCCGAACACTTTGTACAGTTGAGAGTTTCCGGCCCTGGAGCTTAAGGTGATTTGAAAATTTATTTATTTTCAGAAAATTTATGAAAAATTTATAAAATCAATTTATGAAATCAAAAATTGGTCATTTTGGATTTATGAAAAATTTATGAAAAATTTATGAAAAATTTATGAAAATCAATGATTTTCATTGATTTTCAGCAAAAAATGAGGAAAATGAGGAAAAATGATGAATTCTCTAGGAAAACCGAAGGATTTCATCATTTTTAACGAAAAAAATGAGAAAATTAGAGAAAT